TCTGGCAAGGCCTCAGCTTAGGGTCAGAGCCCTTCAGGTGTGTGGGAGAGGTGCTGGGAGCAGCACTGGGAGTGCTGCTTGTCCCTCCCAGCTGCACTCTGTTCCTTAGTGCCCGTGGTGTCACTGATCTTTCTCACCATCTCCTCAGGACATCTATGAGTTAAAGGACCAGATTCAGGATGTAGAAGGCAAATACATGCAGGGTCTGAAAGAACTGAAGGTACTGGTGTGTGAGCATTAACCCTGGCACCAGTGTGAGCCCCAGAGCTGCCCTTGCATGCTGTTCTCCTGAGAACGGTGTGCAGTGTCTCATTAACTGGCAAACCATTCTGACTGGGGGATTGTGCTGAGAAATGCTTCCAAGTGTTCACTAGAAGGCTGCTGGTTCCTGCTGCATGTTGTCTTTGCTGGTTTGAGGAGGTCATTGTTTTGCTAGCAAATTAAAATTATTTGGGTTTTTTTTATATAGTTTCGTATTCCAGGAAACCTTCCAGTATTAGGAGATGAACTAGAACTCATGTCCTACAGTGTTAGAGTTTACAACAAAAATGAGTTTAGAACCTTGTATGCTTTTATTTTTATATGGCCATGTGAGATGTCCTTTTGCTTTCATCTTTAGATGACAGAAGACACCCTTAAACAATTCTTGCAACAAAACTCCATTTATCAAAGTCTGTCACCTGAAGAAGGAATGCTGAAGCTCTTACTGCTTCCATTAAGCTATAAATTTTGTTTATAAATACAACAACCAACTTGTACATCCATGTACCACCCACCTCCTAAGTGAGCAGTGACATGAGCTGTGGCTTTTTGAAAAAGGCAAATAGATAAATTCAACATTTGCCAACATTAATTGCTGATTGTGTCATCAGCTGAGCACTAACAGATGAAGGTGTTGCCACTTTAAATGAGTTTTCAATGGAAACAGAGTAGTTAGGCCCTTTTTTGGTAAAATTTTGGTTTTCTTCCTGGTCACTGAGTAGCAGATAGACCAAAATGATCACATTGCATAAAAATATTTCAATCCATGTCCCTTAGTCTGCCTTTTGGAGTGATTTGGACCTAAGCTGCACTGTTTGATGCTAAGACACCAAAACGTGGCATGCTGAAGGAGTGGAGCAGAACTTCCTTAACTTCTTCCTTGATATACTTCCTTTCCAGCTCCCTTCTGAGCTTTCCAAATCCTGTTGGCTTTCCTGTGCTTGGTATTTCTCATCTGGAGCTGGAAAGTGCCCTAAAACACAGTTAAGCATTTGGAACTGGACAAATTTGTGTCCTAAAAGACAAATTATCTCATTTGTTAATAGAAATGTCAATTAAATTCATTTAGACTTTGCCACTGTCATCCTTAGTTCTGTTATCAGCTGAAAAAGGAAGTATATGAAACTCACCCATACTTCAGTTCAAATAATTAAAATTACACAAGTTCCAAGAGTAATTGATCTGTTAACTAAAATGTTGATGTGTGTGTCCTCCTTGTTTGCATATTTACACGCCTTTGTTTATATAACTCTTTGTTTATATGATTATTTTATTTGTTTATTAAAATCAAGTTTGTCTGCATAAATGAAAAATTATGCTAATTTTGCTTTACCATCATTTCTTGTTATAAATATCTCAGTATCTTATATTCAGGTCAAGCTCACAGAAGGGGTTTTCAAGATACTGGGAATTGTATCTTAGAGAGTAAATTTGTAAAGAAGGGATGTGATATGGGAAATCATACATCAGATCACAAAAGCTGCAGCTTTCTCTTTCACAGTGAATCCTAATTCCTGAGTCAATATTGAAGGGCTCCCACACTGCAAGGATCACTGAAATTAGTGTGAAGTGGCTGTCAATCTGCCTGAATTTCAGGCCTCACATCAGCCAAAGTGATCTTAAATCAAGGCCAGTTTGCCTTTAAAAAAAAATATCCCAACTTGCCATCTTCAGCAGCAGCTCTGAGCTGCCAGTGTGCAGGGGGAGGAGGGAGAAGGAGGAAAACCAGGAAGGCAGGAGCTGAAGCAGCAGAGGAAGGAAGCGTTTGATCCGTGCTGAGGTAAGGCTGCTTGCCTGGGAGCACAAGCCTGGTGGGGGCACAGGAGGTTTTCCTCACCTTGGACAGCTGGGAAGCCTCCAGCACAGGATTCATGCTGCTTTCCATAGGCAAACTTGTGCTTTGGTGCTTTCTTTTCTCACCAAAGTTCTCGGTCGGCAAAGTGTCCTCCTTTATTTCTGACTCTGACCAGGGTTGGTTGCTCTCTGCAGGACTCTCTAGCTGAAGTTGAGGAGAAATACAAGAAGGCTATGGTGTCAAATGCTCAGCTGGACAATGAGAAAACAAATTTCATGTACCAAGTGGACACCCTGAAGGATGCGCTCCTAGAGTTAGAGGAACAGCTGGCAGAATCCAGGAGGCAATATGAAGAGAAAAGTAAAGTATGTAAAGAGCTCTGGCATGGGAAATAACAGAGAGAGATTTGGAGGAGGGTAGAGATCTTTGGGAGGAGGCAGCTAAATTATTATTATTCAATATTTTAAATTACTGGTTTAATTAGTATTAAATGAAATACCGATTTGTTGTGTACTTGTGGTCATACAAATAGGAAATTTCTCTAAGCCATTTCTGAGGAGAAATGTTCTAGCTGGTAAAGGCTATATTGATATTATCACATCTCCTTTTATATTCCATCTCTAAAGTAAATTCATAGATCCATAGGGACTTCTGGAGAAGTTTTACACACAGAGGTGTCTCCAGGCAGCCTGTGGGAGAGTTGTGCAGTTCAGACAGCTCCATGGTTAAATGTTGAATTAAGATTTATATTAATTCAGCAGCTGACAATGATTTGGTGTTAAATAATAAAACTAGTGCTTATGTTTTCAGAAGTGCCTTCTTGTAGCTTGGGGCATTTGACTACACCCCACTTCAAAACACAGTTCCTGAAAGATACTGTAGGGTTTTTTTTTCTTTTTATTTAAAAGTCCAGCTAACTTTCAGTAGGTGGCCATGTGGGAAGAGTGGGTTAAATTCCCATGCAATCGTCTGTGCAGTCTGAAGGATTGGAGTGTAAAAGCTCTTCAGCCTGCTGCTCAGCTTATGAAATGGGCTAAATGATGTCTGTCACTCCTATATTTGGTGCCATAATAGCATCTTGGAAAAAGGACAAACTCGTTAAAAATTGCACTCTTAAGGGATTGTGATTAGAGGGATATTCAAGAATTACATTGCAGTAAGCATTTTCTTTGTGTTTGGGCTTATTTTCCTCTTTTTGGTAGGATACTATTTTTGATTAATATTAATCTTGTGAATATTTCATTATTCACAGGAATTTGAGAGGGAGAAGCATGCTCATAGCATATTGCAGTTTCAGTTCATGGAAATGAAAGAGGCTTTGAAGCAGAGAGAAGAAATGCTTGCAGTAAGTAACTTTTTTTTCTTTTAATGGCTTCTTTGATTGGTACATTCCCAAGTAGCAGTAGAGTGGAGAATTTGAGGCATGGAGAATTTTATTCCCTATTCAAGTTTCTCACCAGGAGAAACGTTAGTGTTTCAGGCCAAACAGGTTCAGAGCTGACTAATGCAAATAGTACTTTCCTAAGTATTACCTTATTCTTCCTAAGTATTGCATTTTGGACAGCTGTTTGTGGAGAGGAAAATAACAGAACTGTGTAACTTGTTTTAAGTCATGTTGTGGATAATAAGATTGTCTTCAGGAACACAGGTTCAGTTGGGATATCAGAAACTGTGCACTGTAGTTACTCATTTACTTTAGCACCTGACTTTTTTCATTCTTTGGCATCACTGCAATCTTGGCCTTCCTTGTTAACCTGTTACCTTGCTTTCTGTCTTCTTGTTCTGCTCCTGCCCCTCAGGAAATCCAACAGCTGCAACAGAAACAGCAGAGCTATGTCAGGGAAATTTCTGATCTTCAGGAGACAATAGAGTGGAAAGACAAAAAAATAGGGGTAGGACTTATCAACTCCTGCAGTGTGTTCAAAGAGACACTCATCCTGCTTTTGTAAAACCCCTCTGTAGTGCCTTTGCTTGGTGTGGCTGTCCTGTGATGTTGCCAGTGAAGTAGCAAATAGCAAGTGTTGTCTTTGGGCAGTACCTTAAAATCCAAGGAAAACCTAGCAGCTGGTCTGCTTTCAAACCAAGGGCAATTGATTTGCTGTGCTGCACCATTTGCATTTGCCATGTGGGGAAAGGAAGTGCTATTGATAATGCAATTCCATCAGCACTGAGTTTTCTCTTATTTAGATTTAATCTGCAGACTGAGCAGAAACTGGAGTGGGATAAAAAGGTAATGGAGCTATTTATAGGACATTGGGATGAAAGTCTCCCTTGCTTCTCATCCCTTCCCACCGTCTCTTATCAAAGCCACATGGAAACCCACTCTGGTTTTCTTTTCCAGCTGAATACTGAAAGGCTTCCTGAACAGAGTAGAAGAAAGAAATCTGGCAGCTTGCCCATGTTTGTGATGTCAAATAATTTATAGCAGCTTGAAGATTAAAATTGTCTATTTTTTTTTTTAATTGGTCTATTTGTATAGAAATACCGAGAGGGGGGAGTTGAGTAGCAAAATATGCATTTGCACATGGTGCATCCCAGACTAAGGATGACTTAATAGCAGCTTTCAAATTAATTAAAATGTGAAATAATTGTCTCCTGAAATCCAGTGGACCTACTTCCATGCCCTTCCATTAACACATGGGAATGACATGATGTCTTCAGTGTGCATGCTAAAGCTGTATGGGTTTGGATCAGCTTGTCTAGCAGATAAGAATAAAAAGTGGACCCTCATTTGAAGGGTCTCCAATGAAGAATTGGGCTCTGAATGTCTTTAGCAGGAATTCTTGGTTACTGAGGAAGCTGTGCCATTCTTGGATTTGAGGTTTCTCTCTCTGTATGCAAACTCAGTCCTGCAATCTGTAAACTCGACCTTTTTCATCTGTGTCCCTTCCATACCCTCAATATCTTAAATCTGCTCATTCTTGTCTACATTTGCTTTTCATGACCTTTACTTGTCTCCCTTCCTTTCTTCACATCTCCTGGCCCTCTGTCTGTGTTGGGAACTCAGGCACTAGAGAGGCAGAAAGATTTCTTTGATTCCATAAGGAGTGAGCGGGATGACCTTAGAGACGAAGTGGTTGTGCTGAAGGAGCAACTGAAGGTATGCAAAAGGAATAAAATAAATTTATTTTAATCTGCTGACCCTTTTCCCCTGTACATTTGGGCAGAATAAATTAGGTCTAGCTTAGTAGCAATAACTCAATTTTCATGTTGCCTATAAATTGCCATTTCAGAGATTTTCTATATGAAGTCCTTTCCTCTGCTATTCATTGTGAGTTTTTAGTGGAGACTGGAGTATAAAGAAGTCGTTTTTGTAGGAGACACTTCTCTGAGGAACATCTTATGCAGCAGATTTATATTAAAAAAAAAGTAGCTGAGATCACATGCTGTCAGAATGGCTGAACTGAGAACTGCAATATCTGTTCTCCTTCCTGACTCCCAGCCATGTTTAATGGAATGATTGAAGCAATTGTTTATTCAGAGTATCTTGGACAGGAGCACTTGACAATCCTTCCCTTTCCGAGCAGCAGGCTCTAAAGCATTGCTTTTGCTTTCCACAGAAACATGGAATAATCCCAGACTCTGATGTAGCTACCAACGGAGACACATCAGACATTCTGGATAACGAAGGACACTTGGATTCTTCCCGAAGTGCCCCAGGCACCACTCAGGCATTGAAGCCAGGAGGGGAGGGGATGCTAGGTAAGTGCTGTGTGTCCTCTCAGCCCCTCCTGCTTGTCTGTCCTTCATTCATCCACCTTTGCTTGGATGGGGCAGTTGTTAGTGGAACAATTAACACCACCAGCATGCTCCTTGTCCAGTCACTCCTGTGCATCTCCCTGCTTCATGTTGATTATCACTCCCAGTGTGTCCTGCAGTCTCCTCCAGCAGCAGACTTCACTTCCCCTGCAAGGTGACAAAGGATGGGAATACAAATAGGACATTAAAGATAAGTAGCAGTCATTCACATTGCCATTTAAACCCTGAATTGGAAAATTGTCCCATGATAATCCTAGTGCTGCTCAGTATTTTTCAGCACATACCTTAAATAATCAGGAAAAAAAGGAATTTTAGTTTGCTATAAAGAGCTTGTATGTTGGTTCATTGATATCCCTGAGAAATGTGTCTGCTTGAACAACAGTGCTGGGCTCTGCCAAAGCACACCAAGGGATAAATTCTATGCTCCTGTGTTTTTGAACACTTAAAATTAACACATCTGTATTTTTACTTGTTACACTGACACTTGAATTCAAAGGATGTAATTGGACAGCGTTAGGAAGGACAAATCTGGTTGGCAAAACCTCTTTATGCTTTTATGTGGTGAGCTTATTAGAGAACTCATTAGAGAACTATTGTACTAGTGTAAGGAAATAAAGTAATATTTTTGGTTTGTTGGAATTTTTTTTGTTGTTCTAAATGAACATACTAATAAGTAACTGCAGGCAGCCGATTGTTGTGAGTGCAGGTTCTCTGTCTTTGAGCTTTTGGCTGCTTTTTCCTCACTCAGTTTCTGTGTGGAAACAATGTGGAACACCAAAAACCAAGGTAAGGGTGTATTTTTAAATGTAATGTTTTCTACATCTCCTAATCTTGGGTTTTTCTTTCAGAATAGGTACAGCATAGACCCAAAAACTAACAACAAACACAATTGTTTTAATATCTGTTGCTTTAAAATATGAATTGAAGGGAAATGTTACAACAAAAACAACCTTCACTAAAACACAGAAGTCCCCACCCCTTTGGGTGGCTGAAATATGGGGCACAGATTACCCAAGTCTGTGTTGGGAGGTCTGAAGAGCCTAACCATTTGCTTGCCCATCAGATTTTACATTCAGTGTCTATCATGTGCACTGATGGGGCCTGTCTTGAGATTTTAAAAGCAAAATATTACTGAATAATCCTTCATGAGTCCATTGGAATGGCATCAGACTCCTTCACAGATAGAGGGGTATCAGGGTTAAAGTTGTAGAGAAAATTGCTGAGGAAAAAGAGTCTTTAGTGGTACATCTGCAGGTATTGCTGTTAAATTGCACTGCTTCAACCAGCTGATCTCCTCTATGAGGGCTGTCATTCCCACAGCCAAGAGCAAAAATCTCCTCCTTTACAAAAACACGAGCCAGCACCAGAGACTTCTTGCTTTGAGAGGGTGGTGGTGAGTTTCACTGATCAAACCCCCTGGATCCTTACTAATTCAATCGCTGCTTTGCCTCACAAAATTGGCAAAAGCTGATCTTTTATTAACCTGTTCTTCTCATTCTGCCTTTTGGGTTTTAAGTGGGGAGGTAAGTGCTGTGGTGTGGCCCCCTCAACTTTCTCAATGGTCTTTTAGGCAAAGCCAATGAAGTGGAGATGAAAAATGAGATTTTGGAGGATGTGGGGAAAAGAGAAATCTTGCAGAATACTGAGCATGAGGAACACAAAGAGGAGTCTGAGGAGGAGGAATTACAGACATTGCATGCTGCTGAAAATGCAAAGGCAGAACAAATGGTTGAAGAACGGGACACCCTGCCAACAGTGATGTTACCAGAGAATAGGTTTGCAGAGCAAGCCCAAAGCCTCACAGAACCTATGTCAGGAAGCACTTCTTCAAACAGTGACAGTGACACAGATGGCTTGAGGAAGGTCACAGAGTCCAGGGACACAGCAGTCCAGCAGGCTGAGAGTACAGAGGCTGAACACCATGACTTGAGTGCCAGGACAAATGAGAACCTGGAGCTGGGCTTTCTGCAAGGCCACCCTATTTTTGAGACTCCTCATGAAACGTTTTGTGACTCAGCTACAGAGCAGGAACTGGGAGAAGCTGCACCCAATCAGGAAGAACAGGAGGATGTTGAAACCAGCCATGCCCTGAGTGATAATGAAATGGATGAAGGATCTGACAGTAAAAGTGAGAGCAGTGAGTTGGTTTCTAACCAGGCAGGGCTACCTGAGGGAGCAGTGGCTGGCTTGCTTAGGGAAGAGGGAAATGTGGAGAGTTCTACTCCAGAGGAACCCCAGCACTCAGAAGAAAGTGCTGAAAACAAGGTTGCAAATGTCTTGGAGGAAAAGTTTGTTGACTGCACTGATGGAAGACATGAGAAAACAGCATGTGACAGAGCTGAAGAAGATGAGGTTGGGAACACAGTTCAGGGTCAGCTGAGAGAAACTGAATCTGTGGGTTTGGAGGGGATAGAGCCATGTGAAAGGGATGTCCCAGCAGAGCCACTTGAAGAGGAAGGTGGAGAACGTCAGGCATTCATGCAACCAGCTTCTTCAGAGGACAGTGCTTCAGCATCCCCAGAGGAACCAAGTACACAAGATAAAACTGAAGATGAAACTGCTACAGCTGAGAAGGATGGACAGAAGGAAGAATTGCTGAAAGAGCTGGAGAAGTGTTCAGGTTCTGCTGAAGCAGGCGAGCAAGGTGTGGCATCTGTGGAGGCAGGAGGCTGCATTCCTGAGGGAAAGGGAAGTGAGCTGCAGCAGGCACAGCCTGGAACAGAGGTTGTGAGAGAGGTGATCACTCAGGAAACCCATTTAGACCCAAGTCTTTTAGAGGATGAAATTAAGGAGACAGAATTGGAAACAGGGGATGAGGCTGGGGAAGGACAGGAAAGTAGGACAGAATGGGAAGAAGATTTGAATCCAAAGGCAGAAGTTCAAACAAGTCCCTGTACTGAAGAAAAAGCAGATGGTACAGAGGGAGAGAAAAATGTTCCTTTAGAGGGTGAAGTGCAGAAGGTGGTTAAACAAGTAGAAGGTGAATCTAAAGAGGAGTCAGGTGTAGGTGTTACTGTAACTACTGAAAACAAAGCCAGTAAAGAAACACTGGAAGAAAATGAGCAAGAGTTAGAGCTTGCAGACCAACCTGGTGGGGAATTTGCTTCTGAGAAAGGTGCAAATAATGCCCTGGCACAGAAACCTGTGCAGGATGAAAACATTAGTGAGCAAGTTAAATTGGAGGTAGATGCCAATAATTCCCTGGCGCAGAAACCTGTGCAGGATGAAAACGTTTGTGAACAAGTTAAATTGGAGGTAGGTGCAAATAATTCCCCAGCACAGAAGCCTGTGCAGGATGAAAACATTTGTGAACAAGTGAAATTGGAGGACGAAGCAGAGGAAAGCCAGGAAGATGATGGTGATGCATTTGATTTTGATGAAGAGTCAAATCAGATACTAGAATCTGGTGAAAAATGGGATGGAGAGAAAGCTGATGCACAGAGAGAAGAGAGTGATGGATCAAATGGTGCTGTTGGAAAAACTGCCCACATGGACAAAGCTGGAGAGGGAACAGACAAAATGGAAACCAAAGATGCCTTGACCAAAGGTGAAATCCTGCAGCATAAAAAAGATGAGCCTGAAGAAACAGGGCGCTTACAAGGGGAAGTGTTGGGGAAAACTGATGAGGAGGCTGATGTGGAGGAAGATCAAATCAAAGTATCAGATTCTAGTAAAGTGGGAAAATTACAGGCTCGAGATGTTTCGGAACAGGATTTGGAAAGTGCTTTCATTAAGAGGGCTGAAAGCAGGGAGGATTTGCAGGTTGGTAAAAAGAGTAGAGGTAGATCCAGAGATGACTGTACAATCTCCTGAGTTCAGAACCTCAAACCTACACGAGTTCCATGCCCTGTGACCAATCTCAAACATGCACTTTGTACAAGACAATCAGACCGTGGAATACTCTTAGAATTTTGTCTTTGTAGGTAACTCAGCATAAAGCATGGATGTGGTAATGATGCAAGTATTAAGTTATTCACTGTTGTACCCAGCCACAGAAATTGTGAGTGGGTTTGGTTTTGCTGTGTCTCAGGTTGAAAGCTTATCACCTAATGAGGAAGCTTCACAACTTGACTATTCAAACTGTTATGCAATTAAAGTCCCTCTAGTGTGGATAGCTGCTCCTGGGGAATTTCTGTAGATTTTTTTTTTTTTTTATTCTAGCCTAGTTGATCAATATCTTGAATGTACATTGGGCCTTTGTGAACTTATGCACATTATGCTTACTTGTACTTAGTTCTACAGCAAGTACATTAACTCTTCATGAAGGAACTCAGCAGATCAGCCACATTGGTGGTGAAACTTCTTTCAGAATGTTTAAAGCCTATGAACCAAGCTCTTCTTTTTTTTTTTAATATGAAGAAAAAAGATCTTTTCATTCCACTTTGTGTGTATTTCTTATATGGTCATATTCCAAAATATAGTTAGATCACCGTGAATCTGCTTAGTCTGAGCACTTTGGAAGAGCAATACACAGTTTGGAGAAAGTGCAACATACAGGTCTTAGTTTGCTGAAAGGAATAAATATATACATGTTTACTTCACCTAGGCACTTTGCACCACAATAGGCCTTTTACACCATGTCTCACATGGGATTTTTATTTTTTTCCAGAGAAAGTGTCAATACACACTGTAATGTGTGCTTAGGTTTGCTATCAAGTACTGTCTAGATATGAATATATAAAATATCTATTTTTCCAAAAAGATTTTTGTTTAAAATTGCATTTGCTTACTGCTTTATATATGGTTTTGTTTTTTTTTTTTTTTTTTTTTATTTTTTTTTTTTTGTTTTTTTTTTTTTTTTTTTTTTGCAAACTTTTTTTTTGAAAGAATGTTTTTATCTCTGAAGCAAATCTTATCTCTTTCCTTCTGGAAAGAAGATAACTTTGCATGTCTTAACTCTTGCTGGATATCAGACCAAAGACAACTCTTGTTTTGTGTATTAGCCCCCCTGTGCCTTTTGGAAAAGCTGGATTGCTTTGAATTGCTGGTATGTTAGGCTTTTGGACTCCCTTGCTGTATTTCCTCTTGCATCTCTGCCTGTACTTGGGAGGAAGAGCATATTTTGCATATATAAATATTCATTTAAAGTGTTAAGCAATGAATGTCCCAAGGGAATGCAGATCGAGGGGGGTGTGGGCTATGGAAGGCTGTATTTGTTGTTGCAAAGTTGTCAGAGCACAGACAGACTGTAAAATTTGAAGATGTATATCAAAATGTACTGCTGTATTTAATTTAAATAAACATATTTTATACTTTAAAGTACCTGTCCAGAGCACTGTTTCTAAACCTGCACAAGGAATTATTTACACCTGTATCATTTCAACACCATTTTTCTGCAGCTTTTGTTCAATTTATTGCCTTGTGCTACGTAGCTACAAGAGCCATCTCCCTAGGACTGGGCAGCCTCGGGGTCTGAGCACCTTGAATATGTGATGGCACCTTAACCGTAGAGCTCTAACAGGTCTGTAACCCTGTAACTCCTTTCATGTGGCTTCTCTCCAACTTACAGCAGATCACCATGGTTTCTGTAAGTATTGGCAGTTGTTCCTAAGAGTTTACACTAGATGCTAATCCGAAAAGTCATAGATCTTATAAGCATTTCTTATCAGCATGTAGCAGTGTTTATTTAAAGATTTGGCTCTGCCATACTCTCAATAGTAATATATGGTTTAATGTTGGAAGTGGGTTTTAATTGTTAAATAGATTAAACAGATCATTAAATGTTCTTACCAGACTTCGCCTGTATTGTGGATGGATCTATCAGAGTTAAATTAGGCAACATGCCATTATATCCTGTATTTCTTATTAGTTCATTTCTGATTTTAACTAGTTTTTCCACTTCAGAAAAGACAGCATCTTTAAGAGAATTCCTTTTTAAAGCCAAGTTAAAGGAGCAGAAACACCTCCAATCTTATTTGTCCAAGTACCAGCTTTGATCCCACTCCCAGTGTAACTGGGAGCAAGAACATGGAGAGGCAGTGCAGAGTACCTGCTGTGCCAGAAATCCATCCTGGAAAGTTGAAAATGAGTCTGTGACCCAAGTATGAAGTTTTTGTTTTTCCAGAATAACCCCAAATGCTTGCTGGGTTTTATGATCATCATGTAGTGGCACATAAATGCTGTAGTGCAGGTTTGTGCATATCAGAGCTAGCCTGAAATGCTTTCAAAAGCAGTATCTCAAGAAACTTACTTGATAAAAAAGGAAAATAAATAGTGAAAAGGTCTTGGTCAATATCTTCTTTACTATAAAGAAGAAAAGTCCTCCTGTCCCCCTCAAAATCAGTACTGCAAGCCAGTGCTTCCAAATCCTATGCTGTCCCTGGCAGTGCCCCTCTTCTGAGAAAGACAGGAAAGCACTTTCTCAACTTCCACAATGAACTGACAGATCTGGAGAGGGAGTATTGCCCAACCTGCTCAGACAGCTGGATTCTTGCAGGCAGTTCTGAATAGCTGCTTGGGGCTGGGATGTCATGGGATGTCTCTCCATTCTCCAAGAGGAGTTTACCCCTTTCATTTACATCAGGATTAGTTACTTCCTGGGCCACACGTCATGTCAATCATGCAGTTAAAACCAGCTGCTTCCCATCCCATGCTCCCCATCTCCAAGTGGAAAGAGACATGGAGGATCTGTGGCTGACTGGGGAATGTTTGGTGCCACTGGAGCAGCACCTGAGTAAGCAATGCCTCGAGTCACTTGCAATGCCAAGGCAATGAGATCAGTCACTGGACTTAGATACTGTGGCAGAAGACACTGCTCAGCACCGTGCTCACCCTCTGTGTCCTGCTCCCTCGCAGGCCCCATCTCCTCAGTCCTCTGTTAAACTATGGTGTGTGAAGGCCCTGAACTGGTGCAGTGAGTACCCTGGGAATCACCTTTCCAAAGTTAACTGAGGTGAATGTCACACTAAATATTCACTCTAGTGTCTTTGTATGTGGAATAAGGATAATGACTGTTATAGATGAGAATTTTAATTAGCTGCTTCCTGTCCTGATTCAATGAACTGTACTTTCCTGCTCACCTGTTCACAAGGTCCTCAGATTTCTTGGAAAAATATCTCCTAAATGCAAAATTAAAGTGACCCTGGTGAGCAAGTTTCTGTGTTATTATGGGGGTTTAAGATAAGTGAAACCCAAGAGACCCTCATTTCTACAGGCAGAAATTTTCTTCTATGTGAATGGCAATTTTAGCAAACTCATTTTTTCCCTCATCTGGTAAACCCCACTGTCTGCATGTCCCAATGGGGTGCACAGATATCTGTAATGAGGGCAGAGAGAACTGAAGGTGAGACCAAACTTGAAGGTTCATCCCAAAATGCATCCTCTTTGCAGGAAAAGGGCTTTGGGGAAGCCAGTGTGCTTCCTCACTGGAAGCTGGCAGAGGTGTCCTTTCTTCAGGCAGGCAGCTTTCACCCCACAGCAGTGGTTATGTTAATGAAAGTCACAACTACATTGTTTTCAGGATCAAAATGTGCTACTTGGCCCTTTTGGACTCAGTAAGTTTGGGCTAATTTTGAAGTGGCCTAAAGGTTTCCTGCTGCATCAGTCCTCACTCTCTTTCCAGTCCTTGGAACTCCATTTCTCAAGCTTTGCTGACCTGTAAATCCCAACACAATCTCTTGAATCCAAGTATCTCCATCCTGTTTGCTGTTCTTGCTGTCTTCATTGACCTTTATTTTTCTTCCATATCTTTCACCTTTTGCAGAATTTTTGTCTTAAATTTTCTTTCATTCCCATATAGATCTGTGAAATTGTTTTATTATTTTAAAGGGGTTTATACTCAGAAATTTTGTTTGTGGGGAGTATTTACAAAAAAAGTGGGTTTGGCTTTTTTTGTTTCTTCATATCAGTGCTCAGATAGAGCAATGTTGGGTGTGTTACAAATGGATGGAAAAAAAAAGAATAGGACTTCAGGAGGTTCAAAATTAATCCAAAGATCTGCTGAACTGGGATGTCACGCTAAGGGTATTGCATCAAAAGCCAAGGTAAAGGTTTTATTCCATGCTCTGGAGTGGGACTGTATGGGGGTGTCTATTCTAGCAGGGAAGTGACACACCACATTAATGGACTCTACATGTCTGCTGTACAGAGGGACTTCCATTGGGAGAACAGTTATCACCATGATTTGATTCAATACGGACTCTTGATTCCCTTTAAGTGCATGTGCTAACAAGAAAAAAGGGAGAGCCACAAGGCTTTGGCCTGTTCAGGAATTGTCAACAAAGAAGAAGTGGTACTTATAAAGCTCTTCAAAAATATTTAAGTCTATCAACAGAATTTACCTGATAAAAGCCCACCAGGCTCTTATGTGTAATTTACCTTGCTTTCCTAAAGTTTACAAAAAAATCTTTTTCTTGAGTCACCTTTGGATTTTAGCCATTTAATCAGCAGGCCACAGCTCACCTGTGGAGTTGAGCTCTGAGCAGCCTGAGCTCAGCACTGCTGGCAAGGGAGGCCAGCTGGACAAACCAGCCGTGAGACCCAGCTGAGGCCAACAGATCCTCTCCTAATGCATGTATTTCAACGTGATGTTGCAGTGTACTCCTGCCTGAGGTGTACCTGAACAAACTGAGCTTGTTAATTAATCATTTAGGTCCTTTGGGTGGTGAGAAAATTAGGTGGTTTGGGTGCTTTCACATTTTGCAGCCCTTAATGGGGAAGGAAAAAAATGAAGTGATTTGTTTGCTTACTTTGTAGTTCTTTTTTCCAGCTGTCTCATTCTGTAGAGTGCACTTTATAAATGAAGGCTGCACATACCCGTGTGCTGATCTGTAGCACTTCCAAGTCCAAATGCAGCACAACAGTTGGTGCAGTTTGTCCATTGTCTCTTGATGTTTGACCTGGAGAATTGACT